TGGGATTTAAATGTGAAATTGTTGTAGATGTACAATTGCCTGCACAGCAGCTGCTGCAGCTCAGGTATGTTCTTCAGCCTAATTCACAAGCAGGCTGCAATGTAGGCATGAGATGGCTGGACTCCTACTACTGTTACTACTGTTGTTACTTTTGACCTGTGTACCCCATCTCTATACCTCTCCTCTTTCTCCAGGATTGAAGATGAACATGTCTCTCTCCCTTCAGTCATGTTATCTGCTGGTCTTGCAATATGATCAATCCAGGAAGCAGTATTTCAGCAGTGGGAATTTGGGTATATTAGGTTGCTGCTTTAGGAGGATGCCTGCTTCAAGTGTATGTGGTCTAGACTGGTCGCTGTGTCTGCGGGAAACACAGTCCTGGCTGACACAGCCTGTATGCCTGTTAGAGCCTGTGGTAGTAGGACAGAGCTCAGCAGAAACCCAGTATTTGCTCACGTGCTGAAATGAACTCTTGTGCTGCCTCTGCTACTGGGTATTTCAGGTAGTTCATGTAATACTAGATTAGGTCCAGTACAGCATTAGTTCCCCTCCTATTTTTATGGCTGCAGGAGCATCAGGTGAAGAATTAAGAGATGTGCTTTCTAGGTTCATTGTCAATCAGTGCTTCCGTATTGTCAATCAAGGATGCTTCCACTACATCATGTATTTCTCTCTCATTAGTACTCTGGAGTCACTTGATCTTCCACTAATAATATGGAGCTGTTTCTTGACCATCGACCTTATTACAACCAGCAAGGAAGAGTGTGGCTTCCAAGGAATCAGCCAGACTGTGGCTGACAATGAGGCACGTGTGCAGCTTTTCTTTGGACTGTGTGGGCACCTAAGGACAAGTCTGCTGCTTTTGCTAATGGAGACCTGGGCGCTGCCCTGTTGCTGTTCTTAGGAGTCTTCTGCTTTGTTACTGTTTCTCTCTGGTGCCACAGAAGAAAGCAGAGTTTGGTGCTTCTCTTCATTCAGGGCATGTGAGGGATGTTAAGGTCTATTAAGAATCACAAAAGCTGGAAAGTAAAGCAAATAAACATTAGTAGTGCTGTCAGTTCTTCCCACCAAGAATCTAGAGATGAACAGAGTAAACCCTAATCAGCCACTCTTTTGGGTCAAACGGGAATGGCCAAATGAGCCTCATATATGAGACAATTCTGACACAGGCCCAGTGCAGTTGACTCTTGCCACAGCTTAAGAGATAGGACACTTGCGTCTGATGCAAGCGAAGTTTCACTGTACATGTCAACACATGACCCAATCTGTGAAGGCATCTAAGGTTAATTTTTAGACTTGAAAAATACACATCTGCAGTTAATAGAGCTGCCTAATTGCAGCCCCTTCCTGGAAAAAGAAAAAAATTATTTTCCCTATACCAAACTCAAACCACTTAGGGACAGAACTTCAGACTCTGGGACCATTTCCAGATGATCCAGTTTGAAGTACAGAAACTGCTGGGATTTTGAGGCTTTGGCTATATAGAAAGAAAAGGAAATGTCTTAATGAGATGTGCAAAGCAGCATGGTCTATGGGATAGGATGCCAGACTGGGATTCAGGAAACCTGGGTTGTTATCACAGCTCTCTATTGCTTCTTTGCCTTCATGTGCCTTAGACTCCCTTCTAGCCATCTGTTTGTCTCAGTAACTCACAGCAATGTACCCAACCTTCCTGTACACACTTTGCCGGAGGAATTTGGTGATGTTCCACCTCTTGCTGTGCTTGACTCCTTCCTCTCTTCCTCTCACCCAGTACATGGGATGATTATTACATCAACCCCACTCAGAGGCAACTTCCTTCCTTCCTTCTCCCCTCCATTGGTGGCTGTGCTCATGGCCTTGGCAGAGCTGGCATTGGGCTGACAAGCCCCACAGGACCTGTCTGATTGTCCAGAGCCACTCAGATGCAGTCTTAGCCCCTATTCCCAGTCCTGGCAATGTGACATGAAGTACCATGGGCTTGCCTTGCATCCCACATTGTTTACCAGCTCATGTCCTGACTTCCTGTACCCTCCTTTCCTCATTAATTGGAACCATTGATTGGAAGTGGGGAGTGTGGTTAGTGGAGCATAAACCCTTCAGTGCCCTGCAATGACCAATAGGACAGGTAGATATTTAGGTGCAGCTCCTCCCATTTGGGGAGCCTGATGAAAGCTGGCTGACAACTTGAGCATCAGGAGCACTGATTGGCTGGGTTGGTAATGCTTCCCTTGAGTGTCCAGGGATGCTGCTCTGCTAGATACCTGGCTTGGACACTTAGGCCTAAGGGGCAAAATGCAGTGCAGAGAGGAACAGCCACTTGGCTGTGCTTGGGCAGGAATTATTGTAGATTTAATGGTAAAAGTAATGCTGCTCAGTGTCTTCCACAGCCAAGTGGTAAAGTTACAAACAGAAAGAGCCCCCACAGCAGAGAGGTTTACCCAGGTGGTTCTGCAGAAGTGCTGTATCTCAGTGTTCTTGTGGGGACATCTGTTGATTCCTTCTTATGTCCATACACACCTTCCCTGACAGTTCAATCCTCCAAAAGATTTTCCTGTCCCCGACACGATCAGCCATAGAAATAAAAGGGACGGAGAGATTTTGTTCTGATCAGAATCCCCTTACCATGGCTGCAAGAGCAAACTTATGTAGCACATTTTTAAACATTTCTAAAAATATTTTCTATTACTGATATTCATAAATGCTTCTAGACATCTTGCTGAGTGCCCATGCCTGAGAACGTTCACAGGAAATTTGAAGTACTTTGTGAACCCCTGCATAATTTTAAACGATCATGTTTTAACAGCCTGACAATCAATGCAATTAATTAAAATGGGCAGTATTTCTAATAGCTCATAAAGAATAAAATTCTTCTAATTCCCTTGTTTCATTGTACCTTTGCATTTACTTCTATGAGCAGAAAGGGCTTTGTGTTCAACTTTAAGTGTTATTGTCATGACTGTAGGAACCTGCTCTTACTCTAAATTCATTTGGTTGTTTGTAGTTTGAAACAACGTCAAGACCACCTGAGTTCTGAACAGTGTTAGCTGAGATCTGTCTAGTTAAACCCTTCCCCAGCATCTATCTACTTTAGTCATTTCTCCATAATTGTTAAATCTGCCAATAAAGTCTCCACAGTCCAGGGAATCCAGCTACAACACGTGAATGAATCAGAGGCTGCTGGAATCAGGAATGGGGCCAAAGAGACTGTAGAGATAGCTATTATTTAAAGGTAATTGAGTGGAATGGGCAATGGAACAAGCTGAAGAAAAATAGAAGCCCCTCAGGATGTCCACACTTTGCTTTTCACCCTGCAGCTGAGGTCCCAGGTTCTTGGTTGAGTAAATCTCTTTTTCTGCCTCTCTCAAAAAAGAGCCTACGAACTGCTCATGTTTTCCTTTCTAATGCAAAACCATGTATTCCCATCCATGCTAATGTGAGAAGGGCTGAGAGCTGGTCCATTTGGATTGCCTTCTTGTGCCTGTGCTGGGTAGAACATATGCTTTCTGGAGAGGAAACCGAATGGAATTTTTTTTTATCTTGACTACTTGGGAAGTTCAGCATCTCACTGCACACAGGCACTGAAGAAGACTTTTAGTGAGAAACAGAGAACTTTTCACTACATCATATTGTGCACAAGTGTGAATTTAGATACCTAGTTTTAGCTCTCCTAAATCTAGATATGAGGAATTCACCTATAAGTCAGAACTAAGACATTTATTTAATATTTTAAATTGCTTTTAGAAATGGTATTCTGCACGGTATGGCACTAGACTATATGCATGATTTCATTTCCCATTTCCCCTGTCATCCCTCCCTCATTCATTGTCACTAGCACATTCCCTCTTCTTTGTCTGTAGTAGCAGAATCTAGGTTGAGGTGGGACTGTGCTGTGTGTGTGAAGGCCAGACCTTGCTTTAATCAAACAGGCGAAAACAGAGAAAGACTTTAATACGGGTTGGCTACTTGTGGACTAAAACATAAAATAGAGAAGGCACAGTAAGCAGGCTGCTAAAATCATCACACTATGTGTTATAATGAAAAAGCAAAGAAAGCAATAGAAGATTTTGCATGTTCCCATGAGTTGCTGGCAGGTAATAGAAGATCTTTGGGTTGAGCCAGGTACCCTTAATCATTCTGCTGGTGATTCAGCAGCTCAGAGTATGATGTTTCTAGGCTGTGCTTTCCCCATCAGTAAAAGTGAATTGTTTATAATCATACCCCAGTGTTAAAAGTTTTCAGATCCACAGGAGGAAAAAGTTACACAGGGTCTGTTTCCAGATCCACTGAAGACAACAGAAAGGCCCTTATAAAATCCTGTAAGTCCTTGAAAGCACAGGATAGGGCTCATTGTACAACTGCAGTAAGTGCTGTGGGGGTTAACTCACAAATTCAGAATAAAATATCTAGCCTCATGATGCATTTTCTGAGAACAATGGGTAGATAGTCTTCACAATACACTATAAAGATGATAATTCTGAAAATGTATTAATTGTCCCTGGTTTAGGGCTTAATCGAAGCAGCTTATAATTTCAGTTCTGTGAAGATAGAATAAATAATATTTCCATCTGTAATATGTAAATATAGTGCATTGCAAAATGTTTTCTGAAACATTCAGGCCATTTTGGGATTATGTGGTCACAGGTGTTACAGATTGTTTTGCAATTCTGTAGTTACTTCTTCATTTGCATTTGAATTTCTTTGGAAACATTATCTCTACCATCCATGTGAATACATTGTGTCCTCTCACAGAGCCCTCTGAATGTGTGAGGGAAAACGAAGGTGCCTGGTTTCTTTTTGGATTGTTGGATTTTTATGGATCCACACCTAAGCAAAATGTTAAGCATGACCATTAAGCAGGCAGGACCCATAGTGTACTGAGGTTTTGGGGGTTTCTGGATCAGATTTGGGGGTTTCTGGATCAGAGTCAAAATGTGAAGCACTTTTTTGATCCAGAAATAGAGAGTATGGTTTTTTCATTGATCTTGTGTCAATCCAGAATCTTTCTTCTGCCCATGAAGGTTACAGCAGAGTTAGATGCCTGGAATGAAGATCTGCTGAGACAAATGAATGACTTTAACACTGAAGACCTGACTCTGGCTGAGCAGCGCTTGCAGCGTCACACTGAGCGGAAGTTGGCCATGAACAATATGACCTTTGAAGTCATCCAGCAAGGGCAAGATTTACACCAGTACATCATGGAGGTCCAGGCATCAGGTGAGGGGGACAATTTCATCTCCATTTTATGTAAGAAAACAAGACAAAGCAACCAAGGAAAAAAAAAATGCGTATCAAGCAAAAAAAAAAAAAAGCAAAAATAGCCCTATAATTTCCAAATACATCGGCTTTTAACATAAGTAAATATGTGCAATACCTGTTTCTCTGCTTCCAGAACTGTGCCCTGTTCCACATTTCAAGGTGCAGATGTGTCCAAGGGAGAGAGAATGAGAGAAAGGGGGGTAAGGAGAGAAGGAGGCTTGTTATCTGTGAGCCCTCTGAGAAAGAATTGAAATATGAGATCCTTGAAGCTAGTAATGAAATTGAATTCTTGGTTGCAGACAGCTGTAATTGGAATTACTTTGTGTAAAAAGGAAATATGATAAACCATACTGGAATTTTCTTTTTCAGTGTGCACTTGAAAGTTAAAGGTAGCAACTCAGGTGTAAAAAAAAAACAACCAACCTTTGGCATGTTCTCTTAAATGCCGACCTGATTCATGTTGATAGGGAAATTAATATTTTTACTCTGCTTCTCAGCCGTAGGATCCTGTTTCTAAGACATCCTATGAATCAGGATTTTTGTAGCCTTCCATTCTGCATTTGAAAAAGGAATATAATAATTCAGATTAATCAGTGCATGAAGTCCATAAATTAGTATTACTTGTGAAGTGTTTTAACCTTCTTAAATGTCCAGAAGGAGAGCAAAGCAAGAGCAATTCCAGTTCTCTCCAGTTTGCCTTTTCAAAATAGAAAGTATTTTTATGGTTTTATTCGTTGGCAAATATTTTACCTCTAGGCACCCACTTTTAAACAAATCTGGCAGTGTTCAGCTTCGTTTGGCAAGCTGCACCCAACAGAGGCTTAAGGATTGCTAGAAGAGTATGTCATGAACGAGACTTGTCCTAATACATCAATTAAAATGCTTTCTTTTTTTTTTTTTCCTCATCTTAGAAGAATCTTAATATGAGTAGGAATCCATGGTGGAAAAAAATATGATCCAGAACAGAGTGCAGTCAGGAGTCTCAGTGACTGTTTTTTAGCAAAAAAAATATCCATGTTCATCAAGAAGTTAGAAACAACTTCTTTTGGATTGCAGATGAAAGATTAGCAACTAAATGAAGTGACTTTGAAAATGTTTTTATAAGATTATCTGAGATCACTTTCTATGAAGCCTACCCAATAAAAATCCATTGCTCCCAAAGGCGAGAAAGCAATAATCCTCATGGGGATGTAGAGTAACTGTAGTTAATCAAAGGTAATGGGCATGTCTGCCATGCACAGAATGCTAAATGCTGGGAGAATGGCAAAATAAGGGAGCGAGATTGCTCTTGGGAGTCTACTATTTCTTATTTCAATAAAGGACAGTTATACTCCATAAAAAATTCATTAGATTTTACTCCCTTTCCTGAATCCTATATAATAGTTTTTTCAGTGCATAAGTTAAGGGATGCTTGTTCTTACTGCCAGAGCTGTGAACCTGCAGGCATTCTGGGAATTTAGCTGCTGTTGCTGTTTCCTATTGCACAGTGTCACCACTGCTACAATCAGAACTCAGCTATAGAAGATAAAACCAGAAAAAATCTGACTCTTTCAGGGACGTTCTACCTAACAAGTCACACTCAACTTACCCAGTTTCTTCCCTTCCCTATAATCCTCTTTGTGCTTTATTCTTTTTATCATGTCACACAGAAAACTGATTCAATTTTGATCACTCTGGTGTTTGGCTTGGAGGTCTTAAAGCTAGTAAATCTGTCAGATGAAATTACACTCAGGTTTTTCCACACATGATGCCTTTTTCACTTGGAAATCTTGTGCAGGTGGAAAAGAAGGTTTCAGACATTCACTCAGGATTTTTGTGTCTTCAATGCAGATTTGGAGCAGTGATTCTTACCAGGCTGTGGAGTGTCTGAAAATCCCCATGAACATTGTCAAGTTGGTACAGTCATCCACTGTATCAATCTCTGTGCAGATACTCAGGGCATCAGTGCATGGAAGGCATCCATGCAAGTCCAGTATTTCTAACGTTTCATACAGCTCAGAGTTATGTTTCTGTGATTCCTTTTACTGCTCCAGCACATGCAGGCGAGCTTGGTTTGGATTCGCCTTTTTCCACAGGCTAATTCACACTGAATGTTATTTCATGTAATTACTCTTCAAAGAAATGTTTGTGGGGTTTTGTTGTGTTGTTGTTTGTTGTGTTTTGTTTTTTTATTAGGGGATATGTTAGAATTGGAAGTCTGGTCATGGTTTCTGAAACTTTGTAGTACTTTCAAATTGTCTTCATATTTCACTAAAATCTGTGTCCTTCAGGAAACATATTTACATTTAGAGAATATTATATTATATAGAGAGACTGGACTTTTTAATGAGCCAGTACTTTTTATTTCAATGAACCTATCTTCTGTTTTTCCAGTTGGATTGTAGCTCTACTACTGATAGCAAAGCGAAATATATGGGCAAATATTTTCAAAAATTGATATTGATTTTTGGGTGTTGTTACTTAATAATTTGAAAGGGCCTGATGTTTCCATAAGCAGCACCTTGGACATTTCTGAGAAATCAATTTCCTGCAGAAATCTTAGGATCATAATTCAGCAGTGATTTCACACCTCAACCTGAGCTGCAGTGACAACACATTCATATAGTGCATTAACACATGCACCTTAGTCATTCTGCTTCTAGGTACTAAAAGTAGTTACACTCTAATAGGTGCTTAATTGTTTGCACAACTGGATTTTATTTTTAAAGTGCATTTCCATTGTTAGTTTAACTGTTATAATGAGCACCACAGTTAGGAGTTGCTCATGCTTTTCAGGGCTACCTTTTTATGTCTTAAAAGCAGTTTATCTAAATGAAGCCTGAAATGCTCTGCAAATCTGGGGAAATGTATACAATCCCCAAGTGTTATGTGAGGAATTCAAAGCCCCTTTGCTTCCTTGTTGTCAAGCCAAATTCATTCATGATTTTTTCCTAGCGTTGCGTTCCGTTTGTGATGTCATTTATACCTAGTTATAGCTATAGGTCATTACTGCAAGGAAGAGGATAATAAATTTCTTGTCACAAGCTTTTAATAGTTCAGCCAAAGAACAACTTCAAAGCAGTTTCAAAACAGCTTCATACAGGTGTAAAAACCAATACTCTTTCGTTACACTGAATAGTGTCTCCCAAATAGCTCATGCAAATAGCTCAGGTGTAACTAATGTGTGTTTTGTAGGATGCCAGTTAGTGGCTCTTTTCTGTAATTTCTTTTAGAAACATTTTCAATTCACTATCCTTCATATCTGCTGCACTGGTTGGAGACATTAAAAGAAAATGGCAGCCAGGTTCAGTTTATCAGAAAATCACCCATGCTTTTCTATCTATCCAAACATAATGTAGAGATAATATGTATGAAATTATTCTGAAAACAAGGCTTTCCATTTGGCAAACCAACCTTTGAGAAGAATAAGTCCTTCCACCACATGCACTGGCACTGTAGACATATGACAAGGAAGAAAGGGCAGATCATTCATCATGGGAAGCACAGGCTGCCCTTGGAGAGCATCCCAGGCACTTCACTGTTTGCTGCTGATGAGTTAGCACAATGAAAAGCCATCCCAGCTGAGTGTGCATGAAGGGAAACTGTGCATTTAATATTGAATAGGTGTGGTGAAGTCAAGCATACAAAAAGCCATCAGGTCCTGAGGATACAGAACCATATGCAGGCTAATTGTAGCAACAATGCCTGGTGTCTGGCATTTGAAAGGAGCTTCATCCCAAGAATAGAAACATATTAAATTTCTAGTTCTCACTGGAAAGCCAAGGGCCATTCCACTTTATTTGGTAATGAAGAAACTGTTTAATTTTGGCTGGGAAAGGAAATAAGCCAATCACTTACATTCCCATGTGCTTTTTCTGATAAGTACAGAAACCAGGATAAAGAGGATACGTTCAGTCATGAGGTCATAATTATTTTGTGTACTGTCCTGTGTAGGTATCATTGTGAAAGAGAATGAAAGTCACAAGTCTCTGAGGAGGATAAAGGGGGAAGAATAGGCATCTTTCTAAATGGGATTTTAAAAATAGCATCCAACTCCATTGTACAGCAGCTTCTAATTAACACATTTCTTTTTTTAATGCCCTATTATTCAATGAAATCAAATGGCTTTGGAGAAAAGTGTAGTGTTTTCTCAGCATTACTGCAATCTGATTATTTTTATATTACGTTCCTTATCCTCCATGTATGGAAGCCAATGGCAAAATTCCAGTAGACCTCAATAAGGGAAGAGTCAGGTCTTTATTAGTCTATAATAACAGAGATTACAGTAACATGGGATGACATCATATTTCCTCCAGGCCAAACTTTCACAATTACACTGGTAACGTAGCCAGTAATGCTATGCTAATAAAGAAGGAAGATGTGAAGCTCATGTAACCACTACATAAAAGACCTGTTGGGTGATCAGAAAATTCAGAAGCTGGGAAGGGACTCAGGAGATGCCTATTTCAACCTCCTGATCCAGTCAGGGTCAGCTATGAAATTGGACCAGATCATTCAAAGATGTATCAATTCCATGCAGGATGCAAAGGATGGGGAATGTAGTACTAAGCCACCTTTTCTCTCCAGTGTGTAAGAATTGGATGAAAATCAGTCTGTGGAATAATTCTGAATGAACTATAGTTTATTGTTTTTATTAATGATCCTTTGATGTGCCCAGATGAGTAAAAAGTTTGCAATGTTGAGTTCCATGCACTTGTAACACTACTGTATATCTGGGGACTAGAGTTTACTCCCTTTCTGATTTCTTCCTCATCTTTTTTATCTTTTAATTTTTAACATGCATTTCTAAAGTAAATTAATTACTGTAAGAAAGGGAGAGTTTTTCTTTTATTTGTTTTTTATGTGCTTTTTTTTTGTTTGTTTGGCTGGGTTGTTTTGGTTGTTTGTGGTTTTTTTTAAATTAAATATTCATGCCAGTTTTTGAATAAGGCTGTGGTTAAGCCATGTCCTACTGGCCACTGGCTGATGGGTGAGATGAACAATGATCACCAGAGAAACACTACTTTGTAGAAAAATGTAGTGATGAAGAATAGAAAATTGGGAAAGCCAAATATTTCATATGAGAGACTTTAGTGAGAATGATTTGCAACTCCCTGAGTAATTCTACGTGTTAGGTGGCAAAAAAATTGTACACCTTATATTTCTGCCACAACTGGAATTTCAAATAAATGCAGTGATCTCTTTTTCTGCATGTTTCAGGCATTGAGCTTATCTGTGAAAAAGACATTGATCTTGCAACACAGGTTCAAGAACTGCTGGAATTCCTTCATGAGAAGCAGCATGAGCTGGAGCTTAATGCTGACCAGACCCACAAGAGGTTAGAGCAGTGCCTGCAGCTCCGGCACCTACAGGCTGAAGTCAAGCAGGTGAGAGTTTTTAACCACACATAAGGTGCTTAAATGTGTTTTCAGCCATTACATACTTGCAAACTGCTAAACTACCTTCTGCCAAGTCACATACCTTTAATCCCCCCTTCTTTAACATTACTTGGTTTGCTGACAGATTGCAGCATGACTCTTTACAGGGCCCTGTTCCCTCTAGTATGCATCTAGTGGCTTCATGAATAGTTATGCATGAAAGTCTGCACAGAACTGGCCCCAGAACTACTCAGCTGGAGAAGCTGCTTCAAATGCCATCATATGTTCATAGAATCATAGAATGTATTGGGTTGGAAGGGACTTCTGAGGGTCATCTAGTCCAACCCCCTGGAGTTATATTCCCTGGTCTGGGAATATAATTATTTGATTTGGGTTCCAGGCTTAAGCTGTTGTGGAGAATTGACCCAAAGAAAAGGATAACTGAGCTGTGAGCTCTAAGTATGACATTACAGTATACTTTCACCTTTTATTGCAATACATCTGTTGACCTGCAGGAATCTTTAATGTCTGGGTGAGGTAAAAAACTCTGTGGTCTGTAGATTGTGGGACTTGTTCATCCATCTTAGTATTGTTACATTGCCATTCTTCCAGATTTAATCCTAGCAGAGGCGGTTAAGTTCTGCCTCCCCTGCTATTTAATTTGGATGCCTCACATTTCTTTGTTTTCCTATGCTCTGCTTACTAATCCTTAGGTGGCTTCACACTTCAGTGCATGTCTGGATTTAAATGGAGTGGTGTTAGTTTCACTAGGAGAACCAGAACATTTTTCCAGACACCTGGAATATTCAGGTTTCTGTTTTACCAGTACAAATGTGGGGGTTTTTTTTTGTGGGGGGGGGGTTTGTGGGTTGTTGTTTTTTTCAAATACTACAAAGTGAAAAATATTTCCTTCTAAAGTAAATGTTTGAGTGATGCTTTATCTGAATTGTTTTATCATTGCTGGCAAAAAAACCCAATTTGTTCTTAAATCACTCTCAAGCTAGAAGCTGGCAGCACCAACACCAGTGCCTGCATTTTCTTTCAAAGTCCACTTTAATGTGAATATTTTGCAACCCTAAATGAAAGTAGCACAGAACTCTCCTCAGTTTTTGTTTTAAAAATATGATCACTTTGCACTTATGATAACTGAAAGCGACCTCCTCATGAAGCTCCAGAACTCTAGAGAGTGCTTTGGCTTCTGAAAAAGAAGACCCCCTGTGAGACTGACAATCACTGCCTTAACGTGGTGATGAGGTGTATCCTTTTTTCCATCGGTTCCCAAAGTTTCTTACACACCACTTAGCTAAGCGTGGAGTTTTGTGCAGTAGATTTATGATGAAATAGAGCTATTTTAACTTGTGATAGAAATACAGAGGAGGAATTTGTGTAGCAGAAATGCCAACAATGCAGGTTATCACCAGCTGACCAGGTCTCACTAGCCCACTTAGCCGAGATGAAGTGCCACTTGGTCAGCCCTGTGGCTGCTCCTGGAGCCATACAGAGGCAGTGCAGCACTTGCCTCGTTATCAAATATCTGCTGGACTTAAACTATTTCACAAACCAAAGGAAATGATTTTAGGACTGAGCTATCTACTTACTGTGAGAGGAGAACAGCTGCCTTGAATTAGTATTTTTTAACGGAACTTTGGACCATCAGAGTCTTCATTACTATGTGACCTTTCAGCAAACCAGCAGTGAAGAACCATTTTATTTGTTCAGATGAATACTAAGGACTCCTTTGTTTATTAACCTATAAATTACCACAGCTACAATTTCCCTTAAAAAGAGGCAAGTTAAAATATATCTGCACCCTATCTAGTTGGCTTCCTGTAGATGAGTCATGTTCCCAACCATTTAGTGAAATTGGGAAATATATTGATTCTGTCTTGTAATTCATCTCCAGTCTGACCCAGGTTTCCTTCACTTTCATTTCAGTGCATCTGAGACGATGGATGATCTCATTACCAAATTGCTCTCACTCTTGTGAATCAGTTGAGCTATGGTTGCTGCAGGACACCTACTGTGGCTGTGGTTAAGTTCTGCTGACACAGTAAAATTGGTCAAGGCTGCTACATGTACATGTGTTTGCATTTTGATATAATGGCTCAAGGAAATACAAAGTCTTTCAACTGTCTCTATCTATTTAAGTCTCATTTACCAGGGATTTCTGGTTTATATCTTACGCACCAAGGGTTTGAATGCCAAGACAATGAATGGAAGTTTGGGGCCATTAAAGCAGAACAATTCCAAATGATATGTTCTGTGAACTGTGTTAGGGTTGAAATAGTATAGATCAGTGATTCACAAACTCTTTGTTATTAAGAAACATCCTGCCTAAGACTGCTTTCCCCTCACTTGGATCCTACTCATTTCCGACAGAAAGCACAGAGCTTAGATTGCTTGCATTAGAGGAACAGCAGAACAGAGTTGTGGAGATCAGTTTAAAAACCAAACTTTCTAATGCTGTGCTTGCAGATGTTTGGATTCCCTATCCCCTCTTTTTGTCTTCTCTATGTTCTATTTCTTTTTCTGATAAACTTTGAACTTGATCTGATTTGCTCCCAGATTTCCTCACTTATTTTCCAGAGTGATTCAAAGTGTATTTATTCCTTCTCATGTGCCTGTTACCCATCCACTTTTACTGTTTGACATTAGATTTGCTTGCAGATGAACATGCTCAGAGGATGATGGGAAGTAGTCATTTAAGATATACTGAATATATTTGGATTTTTTTCACAATTTAATGCCACAGTGCTCTCAGAAACTTGATGCAATTTTGAACCAGAAGGTGTCCTTGCTGGTGATTGTGTCTATGGTATTAAGAGCCTCTCAAAGAAGCTGTGAAGGCTCCACAGATGTAAAAGATTTACTTACGTTATTTTGCCTTTACACTTAAAAATCTTTTCCAGTGTAACTTGGTGGATATCATTAGCAAGGCCTTAAGTCTTTTTTAGAAACATGAAAGAAGAGGATCATTAACACTAGAGGAAACCTGGGTGCTCACAGTTGTATGGTCCCTCTTCCTCCTTACTCAGCCTTTTTTTTTTAACTAATGAAGTTGCTAAGACTGAGGTTTCTAGTGTTACATTTTTAGCAGACATACTTAGTATTTCCTGTACTCTATATGGCCCAAACCAGGATATATCACATATAAAAAAAATATATAAAATATATAAAGATATAAATATATATATTTTTTCATATATAAAATATGAAAAGATGTCTTGCTTTATGATGTCCTCACTTCAAGTCTTTCCTAGAGACAGTGATCTTTTGGTTAACTTCAGCTTTTTGTACCATGTAGTTGGTAATAATGTAGCTTTCTTATCTGATGGATTATAGAAAATGCCAGCCAAAAACATTGCCATATGATAACTGGATTTGTTTTCCTTTAAATCTTTGTTGCATTTCCCACAGGAGCAAAACCACCTGCTGATGAAAGAAAGGAAGCTGACAAATGAAATCTTCCACACTATTGTACTGAGCAGAATGTAATTTTCTACAAATTAGGGTCAGCTACATGTGTAGATGGCTCCCCTTTCTTTCTCTTAGGGAAAACTAATTTTCCTACCTTCCAGGGAACTGAATGGCTATAACTAGGATGATACATGATGTCAGGTTACAAACCAAAACAACAGAAAATCCCCATTTCTTTCAGACAGTTTAATGGATTGTTTAGTGACACTGATTGCACAAAAAGGAAATTACTATGTAGAATCAGCAAAGTCTATTTTGCAGCTTTGTAATTTGTGAGCTAAATTTAGCTCCGTGATTGGGCAGTCAGGACTTCCTGCAGATTGATTTCAGCAACATTCTGGCTTTATTGGAATAATTTGACAACCACACAAGGTAGAAAACAGGCTTTGAGGCAACACTGCAATAAACTTGCACGTGTTCTGGATGCTTATTTTAGAAACAGGTGTCTTAAAATAGCAGAAAATGTTGCTGCTTAAATGAATAAATGCAAGGTTGATAGACAAATTATATATATTTAGGATTTGATTCTTCAGTTATTACAGCAGGAGTTGCATATCTACAATTACTCAGAATATTCCTGACTCAATATAAAATGCAAGACCTGTGATTCCTTCCCAGCTCTGCATGCAGGTGGAAACTCCAACTGCTTCTTAACTCCATGTTAGATGAAAACAACTGTGTCTTCTCCCTCCTCACCCCTAACCTCTGGACCTTTGTGTGAAAGAAACACAGGCAAATGAAGCGGAAAGGAGTCATGAGGTTCATGATTCCAGCTGGAAATTTGAAAAAGAAAGAGATCTTCATGTTTAGTTTGAAATCTCCCTCATTACACTTCATGGTTTTTCCCTGGGGTATTTGCACACAGGAACATTAATTGTTGTGAACAAACCTTGGAAATGAAAGCTCTTTACTATCTGAATATGCATGTAAATATTTTAGGTGTTGAATTCTTCAAGCAATGACTTCTTCAATAAGATCTTTGCCCTCTAAAAACTGCTGTCATTACGTTCTTATCCTAGGATTTCTTTCTAATCAGTGATTCAGGCTGAGACCACACTGGACAGGGTACCTTTTTATTAGCCAGGATGAAACATTTTCTAATGGGTGACCACATAAACCTTGGTACTGAAGCAACCTTTCCATAAGCACATATTTTCTTTGCAGGTGCTTGGCTGGATCAGGAATGGTGAATCAATGCTGAATGCAAGTCTTGTCAATGCAAGCTCCCTCTCTGAAGCTGAGCAGCTCCAACGGGAACACGAGCAGTTTCAGCTGGCCATAGAGGTAACACAAATAAGTTAACTTTCTCTTTCCCAGCTGAACATCATACAAAAGGATATGTCTTCAGCATCAATCATTGCTTGCTTGAAAGAAGGGAAGGAATAAAAACTTTAGAAGATTAACTTAATTGTTTAGCCATAGGTTAATAGTGAAATAAATTCTTTATCAACAGCTAATTCTTCTGCTATCAGCTACCAGCCTTTCCATTCATGAAAATGACACTCATGTGTCTCCTGATAATTTTTTCTGAAAAAAAAAAAAAAAAAATTATTAAAATTCAGAAAGTGATCTGAAAATGGGAAGTCAGCTTTTCCCCACGTCTATGATTTCCAGATCATTTCACAGCATTGATTTATGCATATCTTTGTTACTGGACAATGCTCTCACAAGACATTTTTTCTTTCATTTGGCTCTCCTTTTGTTGACAGCAGAAGAGACATTAATTCAAACCCATATTCTCAAATAACTTTACTTTGAATAAGAGGCAAGAGGGATTTTTAAGAATTGCCTGCTACCCTGAGCTTTTGCCCCTGCTTGCCCTGAAGTAGCAAGTCTTTGACCTGGTCCTTGAAACCTGATTTTGAGCCAAATCCTTTGCCTCACTCATGGAGTCAGGACATGGCAGGATGAATAGCTCCTCCTCTGAGCTACTTTCCTTTGGATGAGAAAGTAGTAGAGGTCTGTGGGCTCCCCTGAGTAGGGCACTTATAAGACTTCTAGTTCAGCTTAATACTTTATATAGCTTAGTCATTATGAACAAACCCTGCCCTCACAGAATGTGCTCACTCTGGTTTAGCATCAAAGCTAAACCAAATTTAATGAAAGTAGTATTTCCATAATAGAGATTTTAAGAGATACCTGATTTAGCAGGGGGAGAAAGTGTGTTTATGTCTTCTGGTAAACTTAAAATAAGTCAATGTATATTATATTGCTGCTAGTAATTATAGAGTTTAAATCTCAGCTAAAGACCTATTTCAGTCCAGCCCCACTCACACTAAGGAAGGAGCAGCTGTTGTAGCTCCTAAGGGAAAAAGAAGTTTCTATCAATCCTATATGAGCTGTTTGGTCCTAAACTGTGCTGACCACATCTTGGCAGATGTCAGCAGAGAGCAGTGGGGAGCAAGACACAAAGTGGCTGTGTTATGGCAGCCTCTGCCACTGGGGAGGTGCTTGTATTTGGTGGTAAATGCAAATCACAGAGGGGGAAGAGGGTTATGCCACAGTAAGGGGAAAAGAAGTTTTCATGGGGAGAAATATTAACTATCTGAAGTGTTTAAAGATCAATATGGGGAAGAGATCAGCAAAACACAGAGGGCAGACTGTTCCCTAAAGGCATCCTAGATGTGGAACTGATTTTCAGTTGAAATCCTTTAAAGTCTATTTAAAACAAGTATTATGACTCTAACATCAGTAAAGCAGCTGGATATTAAATTTAACCAGTTGTTCTTGAACATCTTCCTACTTTTTAATTTTTTTTGCTAATAGCTTTCTCTACATTGCATTATTCATCAGTGGATTACCGGATTATTTCAAGCTTCTTTCCAGGTTCAAGGATTAGATCATAAAAGTATCACATGAGAATGTCTCAGCAGCAGTTAAAAATGGGATGCAGAACATCTTTGGGAGATTTTAGTGCTTCTGTTTAGAAGATTAAAATTAAATATTGGACTACACCATGCCTGAACACAGTTACTCAGGAGGCTGTGAAGGGCCAGTGGCTGTTTTCCTCTCAGTAGCCCTCAGAGGAAGGTGTAACCACCACGTGCTTACTGAGAGAAGCTGGTGTAGGCTGGGAAATGGGGCAGAGAATTCAGTCCTGCCTGTAAAGTGGATACTGAGTAAACTGAGGAACAGCAGGTAAAATAGCTTGACTCCCCTCAGCTCTGCCCTTGTAGGTAGCACATTGTAGCTCCAATAGGAGTGAACTGACTTTCAGAAGTGTATCTTGTCAATATTTGTTCATGCCATTTAATAAGGCATCTTCATGTCTTCTGGTGTTGATGTTTTATATCCTGCAGACAGGACAACTACAGACAAGTGAAGTTGCTGATACCAGCAAACTGGCTGGCAAGAGTCAAACTAGACTAAGAGTCAAACCCAGAGTTTCCTGGCTCTATGGTGTTTGCTTTTTTATCTGTAGTTTGTGTGCAATGCAGTAAGGACTGAGTACAGGCTGGGTGGGAGCTCAGCACCACAGCTGCCTGCATTGGGGTTGTCAAAATGGATCCACTGGAAACCCCACCCTGGGTTGTTGCCCAAGGGGCAGGAGCTGATCTGTGGAGCTCACCCATCTTAGCCAGTGCTTGCTTGTCCTAAATTTAAGTAGCATGTTGCAAATGTATGTGAATAATTGAAACTTAAATGTTTTACAGAAAGTAACTGTTACCTGAAGATAACTGAGAATGTTTCACTCTCTCACATCTCCATGCTCACACCTTGCTTCACCTTTCTACCATACATCTGGCACATCTGTACAACCTCTCTTTCCTCCCCTCATACACAGTCCCTCTTTCATGCCACTTCCTTACAGAAGACACACCAGAGTGCCCTGCAGGTCCAGCAGAAAGCTGAAGTGTTGCTACAGGCTGGGCATTACGATGCCGATGCTATCAGAGAGTGTGCTGAAAAGGTGGCTTTGCACTGGCAGCAGCTGATGCTGAAGATGGAGGACAGGCTCAAACTTGTCAATGCCTCAGTGGCCTTCTACAAAACCTCTGAGCAGGTGAGCTGAACAGTGTCATATCTGTATCACAGCACAGTGCTGCACTCTGGGATTTAGCTCCTAGGGTGTAGTGTGAAGGTCTTGGCTCTCATGCAGATCAGCAGCGCAGTCTCTCCACTCCTCCAGAGTTTTAAACTTTTCCAAGTACCTGCTCTGCTAATACCACTAAGGAGCAGAGCTTATTCTCCCTTTTCGCTTGAGTAATGCCAAAAGTAGGAAGAATGTGGCTTCAGTCAGCCCTGCTTGCTTTTAAAAGCTGCCCTTTGTCTTTTTACATATATTTGCATGTCTCCCTCCATACATTAGGTGTATATAAACCTTTGTGTCAACTGAACAGGACCAACATTGCGCCCTCAGCTGACTCTCAGCTGGTAAACGCCAATGTGAGTGCACTTTGTGATGTAGCAGTGCTGGTGGGTGTGGGTGAAAGGTCATTTGCTCCATTGGCATAGTAATGCTAAGCCACACATGGAAACCAAAGCTTGAACTAGTCAAAATTGTTTCTCTGACAAGTATTTTAATAACGGAAAAAACCCCCACAAGGAAAGCAAAACAACAACAACAAAAACTAAAACAAACAAACAAAAAAAAAAGAGGCAATAACATTAATCTCAAAGTTTTAAGTGAATCAATGTAATTCTTGAAGTTATTTTTTTAATTGTTCCCTTTTCCAATGGGAAGGATTTCTGAAATACCACCATTTTAGTTTCAAGTTCTCATGATATCAGAGTTAATTTTGAGGACTATAAATATGCTTTTCCTTGAGAACTGCTTGCAATTAATTACTTGCTACTTTGTAATACCTTCCAGTGTTTTCACTAGCAGTTAAACACCACCATGCAGAAGAAGATGTGAAAGGATTTCTCTTAAATCCATCTGCATCACAGATAATTACAGGAGTAACTGTTACATGTTGACACAATTTTACTTCATTCCAGGTGCCCATGAATTGCAAAACACATTCCAGTTGGCCACTGGTGTGGTGGAATTATCCATCCTGTATCATTTATACTATAGTCAGTGAGAATTAGTGTCAGTGTGGATACTTGAATAGCCTTGCCTGATATAATTTACTGCAGCCAGGCAGTTCATGTCAGCATGGGCATTGAAGGAACCTATGGTTTCATCCAAAAGGCAGCAGGCATTTCCATTAAATTCTCTGTTGTTATTATCACACAGTTAATTCCACAATTACAGAACCAGACATGGGAAGTTTTTTAGCACAAGTAAATACTTCATTATGGAGAGAGATATTTTTTTCCCTTACATCGAAGCTGTAGACAGTCCTTGAGCCACTTTTTGGTGTCATTTCTTTAATGCATTTTTAAGATTGTTTAACAGGAATTCATTCTTTATAATGAATGTCTTTGACTGTTAAAGAGTTTCAAACAGATTTACAGTCCCTGATGCATTCAAGATTGAAATGAATTACTGCTGGTGGAGGATTGTAAGAAATCAAAACCATTAAGGGATTCATTAGTGCTTTAGACAGTTAAATGTTCTGGCCAAAATATGCATAGCCAGTAATTTATCAGCTCAGTCTCGTCCTGCTTCCAAGTCATAGACAAGCATACTGCAGTGCCCACCAGTTCATTCATTAGCTGTGTCTATTCAGCAAACGTTTAGGGCAAAGATCATTCAGTCTTTGACTGCTCATAACCTCAGTGCTGCATCTGGTCTGTCCTCCTCGAGTGCAGAATGTCTGTCTGCAGAGGCCACTGAGAGTCATTCTCAGGATCTGCAACACGTAAGACTCAGCCTTGTCTGAGGCCACTGCACACATGGTTTCCAGACTGTGTTGGTTTATTTACCACCTTCCCTTTATTCTACCAAGACAGATACTTGTGTAAGCCCTGGACAGTGGAACACCTGCATCCACCTAGGCTATGACACTGATTTAATGTCTATTGGTTTCCATCAGTCTTTGCAAAAGCTGTATAGGGAGCAACTAACATGCAGCTGAAGAGAATTAGTTTAAGCTTCAGCCTTTGTTTAAGGAAAGTATTTAAGCATGTGTTTTTCTTTAAGTATGTGCTAAGTCCCTTGACTTCAGTGGGATTTAAACACATCTAAAGCACCCTTCTGGAATAGACATTGTTCCATGAATGATCCACTGGGGCCAGCATGGACCCCTGCCTTGATTCAACCTTTATCCATCGGAA